CCAACCGGTTATACCTCGCAATGTCCTTTTTCAAAGCGCGAAGCAAGATCGTGCTCACAAGAGCGACAAGCAAGACGACGAAGATCGCCGAGTAGATGAGCGAGTACCAGTGGACATTCGGATCAAAAACATGGAGATATTTGTCCCAACGGGTAGCCCACACCGTAGGTGATTCTCTCCAAAACACGCTATATGTCCAAGCCATAGTGGTTTCATTTTCCTCGCTAAGAACAAGAGGGGGTCCATCTGGGTCACATTCCGCTTTTCCGTCTCTAATTTTGTTGTTCTTGCGTGACTCCGGGAGCACAAGGACACCAACCACGCGGTATTTGGTTTCCTTCCCCACCCCGGTTACAGGGTGATAATCAATTAAAATGTTATAGTGATTATTGAGAACGGTCTGCCCGTCGTCATCTACTGAGCCCAGGAGGAATCCTGGACTGTAGAATTCAGTCTCAGTTTGCTGGTCAATGTTAATTTGGGCGGCAGGTAGTCCGTCGATCAACCAATTAATATTATATTGTTGCCATATCAATTGGTTAACGAACTTGCTGCTTCTGGGGTCAAATACTACATCGGAACATAATGGCTTGCAAGTCTCATTTTTGGCCATATGGAGCTCGAAGGGCGATGTGTGGATGCGGTCCCCGAATATGATGCTCCCGAGCGATTCCCGCACATCTTTAGGACCGTCCTTGGGCTGGCAGAAGTGGAAAGCAACATGGTAGTAGTCAAACGGGATTACAGAATGCAGGTGTTCATCGAGCTCAGAGATCGTGGGTGTGAGACGGTTGACATGAAGCGGAACCAGTTGGCCTCGGTCGTATGACGTGGGCGCCACACCAGGAAGATAGAAGGCTGAGGAGAATTGCGTAGAAAAGAGGAGGGCGGCGGCAAGCAGCTGCAGTTTCCTGGAGCACCACATCTCGGAAACTGCCTGATGCAAAACAATCTTAGTTCAGCATTGACCTGCGGTAGTTCTGGGATAGGTGGTGTTATATTTACCTGTGTGTTTGGCCGTATGCTCGCCAGAATGTTAGACAAACACGGAGGATTGATCACGGAAACATGGGTGCTAGGTAATAGTTGAATAGAAATATACAGATAAAACACCAGGCCGGTCGCTTCACTGGTATCAATAGTAGAAGAAACCGATTAGACCGTAGAATGGGAATTTTGTTGCCCCGGACGAGTTATATAACCTATATCGGCGGAGGTTTGGTCGGAGGTTGATGTTGTGGTTTGAGTCTGGGGAGTCCGGCGGCTGAAGGGTGGAAAGTGGCAAGTTACGCGGGTAGATCACGTGACTAACGTCAACCTCGAGTTATTTTCTACTTATTTGATTGGTGAAAAGGAGACCGAAATTAGACACTTTAGAAACTTAGAAGTGCAGATATTATCGAGATATTATCGAGAACATGAATTAGACTGCAGTTTGAATGGGTATCGTATCAAGAATCTAATGAAACTAATACACATGGTCCTCGCACATAATCCACCAACATTATAATACGCCTCGCCCCTTTGAACTATACTTCCTCCAGTAACAAAAGAGAAATTATATGTAGAGCTCCAAGACTGAATATGAATGCTAGCTCTCCAGAGAACCTACAGGCCTGGCTCCACTCAGATTGATAACGCGTCCACCCATACCTTCCGCAGGACTGGGTGCGAATCCCTTAGCCGTCGGACCGAACCCCGGATTCTGGGCTGGCTTTACCCAGCCCGGGACTTGGTCATCCTCGCTTTCTTTGGAGTGGATGGTTTGCCACACATTGGGAAATCCGGTCGGAAGGAGCCCTTTCACACGCGCTCCCGGGATTGCGAATCGCGGGTTCTTATGTGTTAGGTAGCCGCGCATCAGATCTTGTGTAAGTAGCGACGCGAGGACCGATTCAAGATCGCGCATCAGTAACGAAGGGGTGCCTGCATTGTTTTCACCTTCAGTGGCTTCTGTACGAGGTAGATATGCCAGAGCATCAGTGGCGAGACTATCAGCGTCTTGGCTTTCGGCAACGGCATCGCTGGGGAGATCATCAGGTGCTGCGACTTGAACCCATCGCCCGTCTTGGTCAAAATAACCCTCTGGTTGGAAATAGTCGTCATAACCGGTAGACGTATGGGACATCGCGCTAGCAGTGTCAGGGTTTATAAATTCACGATCCGGGGGAAAGGAGAATAGGCAACTCCCTGGCTGTCGGTTGGGTTGGTTGGGCTGCTGTGACGGTCGTGGAAGTTGTTTCATAGGGAAAAGCGACTGCGAAGCTGAGTTAGGTCCGTGTGATTCCATCCACTTCACCGCTGCCTCTAGTTTGTGAAGATAGAGAAATGGCGGAGGCCCTCTTTGTGCCTGGGCCTTTTGACCTCCATGAAACCCGCAAAATATAAACACTTTCCTAGCAAGTGAACGCCACACTAGAATTTCGCATCTATTACGCAACTGAAGCAAAACTCCCTTGCGAGCAAACCATTCTGAATGGGGGGAGTCGAAATCTAGGTATGATCGAAATGCCCCCAAATTGCCGCTGGCAATTATTCGACAGATGGGGAGAAAGATGTCATCGAAACCTTTGGATTCCGGTCGTTCAAGGAGGTATTTCGATGGGAAGCGACCAAGGATAATGTTACACGGGATTAAATACGTCAAAATGAGACGTCTTTGTTGAAGCGCCTGCCTGTGGCACTGATTGTAGGCGGCTTGCAACGCAGTTTGGGCAGGGAAGAAGAGATTGTTCGAAAAAAGGTACCGGCCCAAGTAATATAGGTAGGTTACTCTTTGTGAGGCAGGAAAATGGGCAAGTGGAGGTGATTGAGCATTGATACTGGCAAACATTTGTTCGGCATTTCGAAGCTTGCCACACTATTTGGGCTCTGGTTAGCAGAATTCAGTCCCCGGGAGGTTTATTTGTTTTTGGGGGGATGGAAGGATATTAAAGCATTACCTTGAATAACAGTTTTAGACACAAGTTTGCCATCAAATAGATGCCAACCCGTTTGCCTTCTGGTTTCCCTTGTGAGCCAGCAAGACCGCTTCTATCCGTTAGACATTTAATAAAAGCTTCCCGGACAACATTTGCCGATTTCTCCACAAGCGTGACCTTTTCCGTTGCCTCATCTGAGCCCGACCCTTCCTTCATCAGGTGTGAGACCAATTCCGGTCGGCGATCTAAGCCAATAGCCAGCTTGGCAAGAACTTTTGAGAGATACAAAACCGTGGGTAGGACAATGACGCCCATTTGACTATCGCTGAGAGCTATGACGCATTGACTATATAAAAGTTCGGGAATATATAGTTAGTGATGGTGAAGCTGGATAGCATATTCAAAATGCAGAAGCGCTCATACGTACTTCAATAGTGCTTTTAGCAGATCGTAGGTATCCAAAAGGTTTTCGACATTGACATCCCGAAGGAAAGTGAAATACTGCCGCAGAAATATGGGAAAAGCAGACCAAGGGCTCCCGGATTCTGTAGCTAGAATTACAGATTCACATTTCGTAATAAGCTGGTTATCGTTATTTCCATGTTGCGGGTATTGCCTCCGCATCTCAGCAATCATATCATGGTATACAGGTGGCAATGGAGGCTCAATCTGGAGGAAGTCCTGTAGTTTAGCGCCGTTCCGATTCCTGACGAGGTCTGCGATGCTTGAGATGAAACTATCCACCACGGGAGTTTCCCCCAATGGAGCACCCCACATCTTGGAGCCGCTTCACGAGGATGGCGGCACACCCAGGAACAAGGATCAATAGTGGGTCTTCCTAGCCGACATGCAAATGCGTGGCGAAGTGGTAACTAGGTGGTTTGAATGGCTGTAGTTTGCGCAGCTTTGCAATCCATTGAGTTGGTGATTCAAAGCGAGTTTAAGCAGGTATTTCGCTGAGAAAAGGCAACCCACCCCCCCTGCTTCGACAGTTTTGTATTTCTTTCAAGACATAAGGGCGCTAGTTACTGACACTGACACCGTGTTGATGAGATATTGCGGCAGTTTGTCAGAAGATCTATAAAAATCGTCTACCTGAGATTTGATTGAAGCTGATTGAAGGGTGATTGACACATATCTGAGGGATAAAACTATAGATGGAAGAGCTCAATAAGCACGTGATTTAACAGCAGTCATGTGATGTCCTTATCTTGTGAAAATTGACTTCATCGAAAGTTCTTTTTGTAATTAAGGCGACGACAGGAGAGTTGCCCTTCTTTTCAGTTCTAATAAATGTACCTTGCATCCTTGAGGTCAGAGCTGCTGTGGTGTCATCTTTCTTTCAATCCGAAAGAGATTCATGCACTGATCGGTGCTGAGCGATGGCCTCCTGCAGGCGATGCAGGTGGGATGGCCACGTATTAGACAGACAGACAGCCTGCCAGGCTCAACCTCCAGAAGATTAAGAGTGAGATGATTTCATTGGTCTTCTGGAGCGAGGGGTATCCTCGCCTTTGTTGCCTCTGGTGGGAACTCTCGACTGGCGAACAAAGAATCTGGCTTTCCTTCTTGCTCACATTATGTCTCACCATGCTTCGGAGTACTCCAGTGGGCTCCGAAGGAGGGAGGGTAGAGCTAATCGCACAGCCGTTCATCAGCTTTAAACCCTTTAGCTTTACTAAATAAGCAACTGGTCAGAAATGCTGTTATTTTGCTCATACAAAAGACTTCCCCTATCCATCTTCCTGCCAGATTTACTGCAGTTTTGGATTATCTACTTTTTTAATTACTTTCATACTACGTATTTCCCCCACCCTCCTTTTTTGTATTTTCTGTCACTGTTATGGTTATCTGGCTTTCAATTCACTTTGTCTCCCCGGCACTGTTTGGTTTTTTTTTTTCTTTTTCTGCGGCTTGCCGCAATTGTTTCCTCGCCAACAACCATCCCCTGACGACAAAAGTTCCCCCGCTACCAAGATACGGCATCACCATCTAAAGTACAGCATCAAACTATCTGGTTCTTTTTCTATTTCACACATCTTGAATATTTGAATACCAGAAAGCCAACACGACGGCAAAATGCGCCAGTTTCTACTTCTTATTCCACTGGCAAGCGCCGTTTGGAGTTCGTCAGCTTCAGAAGTATTTCCCCGTCAATACTGTGCCTCAGAGTATGAAATATGTGCTGCTGAGGGCGCCGTTCCATCGTTTCCCCCATCAATCGGTCCGGACATGCGTGGCCTTTTCATTGGTGTGGTTGAGTCGGTTGATCAAAATCCATGGAAAAAGGGAATAATTAATCGCGAACATCCGGTGCCACGAGATGGGTTGCCTGATCTTTGCTGTATGTCACTTTTCAATGTTCTAAATCTAACCGAAAACTATGACAATATTGAAACAAGAAAAGGAAACGGAAAGGAAAAACCATGTTCTAATGTCCTATAGGCAAGTCTGGAATGGAGTGTCGGCTTCTCAAAAGTTACAAGACCTCTTTCTGCTGGGTATGTACTGTATATACTCTGCATTTAAAGATAACAGGAAAACTTCCGTCAACTAGGAATAATATCCCTGACCGTACCAGGATAAATTTACCACGAACTTCTACTTTGTTGATGGGTCCTATGGCAGTATTTTGACCGGGATTTACAACACTTCCTCGAACGGTATCGTGGATTTGGTCTCGGGTGATTACACGCGTTCAAACGGTGAAAAGGGCAATATCTACGATGGTGATGAATCCTCTAAACCTAATACCCGCACAATGCAGCTTCCCTTGGCCTGGACCAGTAAAGGCGTGGGCAGTGCTATTCCAGGCAGTGAGCTGGGAGATGAAGCCACATACATCACAACCATCATTCCCGGTACCGGGCGGGGGCCTAGTACCATTCCGGCTTCGACAATTGCTGCGATAACAATCAGCGGTTCTGTCATACCAGCAACAACGACTCCTGCCACAGTTGTGTCAGGGATCGCAACCCCTCCAGTTACTCTTAAAGGGACGGGGTCTCGATCAACTTCAACGGTATTTCCTTCGACGGGTGGCGGCGTGAGTTTGATAGCTACGTCAGGTGGAGTGGCCTGGATAGTGTCGTCGATTGTCATATGTGGCGCGTCGTTAGTTTGGTAAGGAGAATTGGAATCCTTTGCTTTATGAAGGACGGCTTTCAGGAAACCTACATATTGTTTATTAGCAAACGCTTAATGCGTCTGGGTTTTGTTTGTCATTCGCTTGTCGATGTTTATCGGCAAACCTCTAAGGCCGGGTTGAGCAAATACGCAGAGATATCGAATTTGAATGAAAAGTTTTTACCTCTTTTGATGTTGTCCCAAACAATGCGTCTGGTTGACGGGAAAGGCGAGACATCTTCCTCACAGAGTAGTCTTAATACCACTGGAACCACAGTTTAATTGCTACTTCTACACAGTTTGTTCTGCATGGTTTACCACTGATAGAGCAAACCAAGCCTCTCGCGATGACAACGGGGATATGTAAGTACACCAACAAAGAAGACATTGGGTCAGGATCAACTCTTTACGTGCTGAAATCCTCCACCTAAATTTTCGTTCTCAAGCTGATATTGATATTGGCTCGTTAACAGTAATTTGAAAGGGTTTAGAATTATGGCATGTATCACCAAAACAAGACACGCTTTTTGACAGTTACCGCGCCGATCATAGCTGTGTTTTTAGCAGCAGTGACCTCCTGCAATGCGGCGGCGATTAAACGGCAGCCGACACGGGAGGTGTGTTATCCGATTTACCCTCAGTCTAAAATATAGATGCGCAGATGGGGGAGTATCCTTGTGATATCATTTCCCTCTCTGTTCAATCTACGGAATGATTAATCCTCGGAACTTCACTCGTACATTTAGCACCATAGTGAACTTCTGAACTACCCTTTATCATAAAGCTGCCAAATACGATGCCCTAGTGAAAAGCAATCTAGGTACTATATTTCTTTGGCGTAAATCGAACTGGTGCTAACGGCATTATCGTACAAGACGAATGTGATTCTTTCAACTCTGTCTTGTATGTCTCTCGTCCCTCGTCGGAATGAACTGAGAAATTACTATATATTCTGGGATTGCTGACACTTCCGCGCACCCTCGAAGTACCGGAGTAACAGGCTCTCTTGAGATTCCATATGGCACACACTGCAGCGTTTATGGGTAGGTGTCTATTTTGCCGATTCGTTTCCATCCTCTCTTGCGATGTAAAATTTCCTAATGGTATCGCCGCCTGAGGGATTGATATAACAGATCTCCGGACTGCACTGGCAATTGGCTCTTCCAGCTCAGCAACCCGGGAATTGATGATCTCTCCGCCAATCAAGTGCCATATCTTATTCCGATGTCTATAAAATGTTTTGCATATGGAGAATAGCGAATAAGGAATGAGAGCAATCGAGTGGGGGAAGAGGGGTTGGAATGATCCGTGCTCAGTGAAATGGAAATAAAAAGAACTGTAGACGGGGCTGGAGTGAGGATTTGTTATCTCCAAGGTCGTTATTTGAAAAGAAGGGTTGCTCCCTTTCACTCGCCTTGAGGAATCTCACAGGATTTCCCTTTCGGTTCAACAGCACACTCATATTCAGATATAATGTTGAAGGACACCTCCGAAAAGCTAACTCCTCCACGATACGACTTTCACGGATCTTGAACTGCTCTAGTAAAAGAAGAAAATGGAATAACATCAGCTCCATCAATCTGCCCTTTCCCACAGTTTGAAGTAGCATTCGATAATCTAATCTAACTCCGCGTATCACTCACAACATGAATGTCACGTTCGTTAGCCCTTGTAGCCAAGAAGACTACATTTCATGCAGCACAAACATACATGTTACAGTAGCTTAGGTATCCTGATAGCTCCATGTATTAATTAGCTCGTGGAATTGTGAAAGGGGTGGAATGGAACCCTACGTGGGATGCTGGATAAGTGAATCCTATACTTCTATTCTTCTCCAACTAGTTGACAGCAAGAAATTAGAAACCATTTGTGATCGACTCGCTGTGATCAATTAACGTCGCTCAATCCAGGTGTTATCCTGTGTTAAGTTGTCCAGCACCAGAGGAGAAATGCAGTCTAACATATCTTCTATATTGGCTGCGTTTCGCATTAACGCGATGGAAGTTCGGTTATTTGCCGACAACGCTGTTGTTTCCCAACAATATAGGGGAAATAATCGAAACGCAGCAGAGTAGCAATGATGTTAATGGTAAATAACTATCCTTTAATCAAGCTTGAAAAGAAGTTAAACAAACAGAACGAGAATGTGATAACATGGTGACGAAGAGAGGAATTGATACATCAGTCAATCGACTTCAGAAGAGTGAAAAATCGAAATCCAAAAAGGAGTTCAGAATACATCCATGACCTTCCTTTATCACCAGGAGAAAAAAATATAAAAAATTAGATGTCGGATATTGCAATTATTAAAGAGGTACAGGTACAGGTATGTATTGTCTCAACCTCTTTTATGAGATAACATAACTATTCATTAAAATGTTGCAGGGACTCTTGAATCGGATCGAAACATATTCCTTCACCCTGGGGTATTACCTCTGTCACCACCCACAGGAACCGCCCACGGTAGCTCCCCAGATTCATTCATATACAGTGTCTTCGCTCAGTTGATATCCACACTTTTGCCCTTGTGTTCTGTCTCCACGGACGGCCCCGTTATGTCATATTATACTTACAGGTCTACACTCCTTCACAAGTTATAGTCTCGTTTCTTGAAGATGCACAATCTAGCCATACCGCTGCTGACCCTGAAGCACAGCGGGAGGAATGAGAGCTATGGTGGTTGTCATCTCAAGATCAAGAACATGTTGCTTTGGGCTGTATAAATTAAGGTATTCACACATCCGCATTCTCGGATGTGGAAAGCAATTTCCTAGAGCGAGGGTGGCCTTAGGTGGGAGGATGAAAATCCAATTTTATTGGATTGGTCCAGAGGTGGAGAATATATATATTTATGCCATGATTGCAATTGAGCGGCATACCTCGGTATGCAACCGCATAACCGTTGGTTACCGCTTCCATGTTCCTATTTTCTTCCGGCGTTTCTCGAAGCTCTCGCCTACATTCACTCCATCGCCGCGTGGGCCATCTTCGGTAGCACGTCTCTTACGGCTTTTCTCCAGAGCACTTCTGGAACCACCTCCTGTACCCCGTCGGGTAAGTCTCCCGATCCTATCAGCGCCCTCTCCCAAGCTCCTCCAGTCCTCTCCCCCATAACCACCTGGGCGATTGTCTCCCCGCTTCGCCCGTTCCTTCTTACTTTCCTTAGGCAGGCGAACAAAGTTACCCTCTTCATACTCTCTTCGTTCGAGTTCCTGCGCCCTCTCCCTCTCGGACCACACTGATCTTCCTCCAGCCCTTATCGTTGTGCCAATACTAGGCTCTACAATGGGCGCGCTGGACATTTCAGCTGTCACAAACTCGTCAATAACGGCAGATTTAGCGGTGCGCCGTCCGCGTTTCTTCTCATGATTATCCGTCGTGGTTGGGAGCGCTGTAGGCTTTATCTTTGGTGGACGATAGATTCCATCACCAGTATCCTTGCTATCCACTAATTTTGGTTTAAATTTATCCTGGGTTACCCGTGAGAATGTTGCTAGGTTAGGTCGATATGTCAATTCATCAATATCGCTATGTTCTCTGCTGCTGTCCTCATAATAGCCCGATTCGTTTCCTGATCCGTCCTCGCTTCCGCTTCCATAATTTCTCTTTCCTTCCTTTTTGCTTCCTTTGGTTGATTGTTTTCCCGTGGACGTTGTAGCTTGTTGTTTCCTTGTCGCATCATCTGCTGCTTTGAGAACCTTATCTACCTGATATTTCAGGCGACCTTCTAGTGGTCGTACACCACGCTCCAGATATATTCGAAGCTCCGTCATTCGTTTCAAAACATTTTTGTGGGTAGGTCCATCGTCATCAGTCCCAGCACCGTTTCGCATATCAGAGGATCCATTGCATAAATGTCGTAGCCGCAGAAGCATCAGAAAGACTAGATTCTGCAGATATGAAACAAATATTTCATTCTTCGTATCGAAAAGTGATATGCCATCAGGAGGCGGTAGTATTGACCTATTACCCTCTGAGACATCATCATGCGGCTGGAAGGATGGTAAAGACTCCTGGGCGTTGAAAATGACGGCTGTGAGAGATTCCAGCGTGCTGGCGAACGATACCTGCGCCGGGGTAGGTTGCGTCTCCTTTTCAACGGCCATGGTAGTTCGATAGCAGGCGGATAACCCACTTCCAGTTATTAGCAACACAAACAAAACAGTGAAATGGATGATCCTTTCAAGGTGAGAGGTACCAAAGAAGTGTCATGGAGTCGTTGTTTTACCTTTCGATTTTTGATTTTTGATTATTACCATTAAGTTTTACAACATTCCACGTGATCAACATCACATCACATCACGTGGTCAAATCCTCTACTGAACATCATTTTTCATTGATTAAATTAATTGAATGAGCATTGTCGAATCGCACACATTGTTAGCATTTCACTCAAAGGGGGTTTTCCCGGAGACCTCAAGTGGACAGTTATTTGCTCCTGTCACGTCTTCGTACTCAAAAGTGAAGAGGATCGAATAAACAGAGCTAACGAACAAATGTATTGCTGTATCTAACTAATCTCACACGCAGGTTGGAACAAATGAACAGCTTGTTAAGCGAATAGAAATATTTAGTTGTAATGAATGGAGGCTGCACCAAAACGGAAGTAGTTATTCCGACTCCGGATAGAAGATACAGCTGTATCAAAAGGAATACTAACTACGGGCTTACTCCGTACTCCAGTCTCAATAATTTACAAGCTTCAAATCGAATAACTACTACGTTCACTTGTTTTTTGGCAACTAGTTAACTATATGGGGCTGACACTAGGATGAGCCGCTTGGTGGATCAGAGCTGAAAGCATGTTTGTCCCTTTGAATCTCTACGTAGCTCATCCATGGGGAGTTACATTGTCCAACTGGGAGATATTACTAGGGCCCCAAGCTATTCCACTACGCTTGGATTGAAATTCTGAAGCCCGCGAACACTACCTCTAGCCAATGTCCCGGAATGTCAATTCTATGTATATCATGATAATTGAAGGAAATGAGGAGACATCGACCGAAAATCAGGGTTGTGGCGAGCTGGGCTGCAGCTTTTATGTCGAGATTGATACGTTGCTGAGTCACTACCGGAGACGTGAAGCAGAACTATACAAAGTCAGGACGTTATTAAATATACCTCGAGGACCTCAGCCCCAATTGACAGAATGTCAGCACTCTTCCACACTCCCTTAATGTGGCTCCTGTTTCCGAAAAATGCAGCACGGCACTCCCAAGCTGGCAGTCTCCATTTAGGAATTCCCGCAAACTTAGTTTTCGGGCTTTTGACCCCAAAACAACATAACTGGAAGCCCATATCAGTGGTTCTCTCCTTCAAAACAAGATGCAATGGAAATAGCACAGCAAATTTTGCTGTTTTGCTACTCACTAGTTATGTATTGCATGTATCCGTTTTGTCTGCACTGCTGCCTGAACTTTGGGAATTCAGTTGCTCGACCTCTTCCGTCGACCACCCCAAGATCTCTGTAAATGGAATGAGAGTGAATGTCTCGACCCCTTCAATGTAATGAACGGCCATCATTGACCCGGTAAGTTTCCGAAATAACAGCATGTATAACACATTAGAGAATGAAAAGCACTACATGAGCGGAATATGAATGGCCCGGCAACTTTTCCAAACGTTTATCCTTTGGCCCCGGACCAATGGGTAATTTGAGGACGCGCTGCTCGACATTCCTAAAGCCGGCGTCTGCCACCCACTTCCTTCACGATGGTGCAGGATCCATATCTATACCTATCCTTCCAGAGGTAACAGCGAGGGTCTGGAGCATTTTTCGGACACTTTGTGGTTTGTTATGACGGTGTTGTCTTCAGAATATGTGGCTATTGTAGGGTCTTTGATATCTACCCATCCGCCAGGTTTTAGATGGCTTTTTGGAGAGAGATGCAGAAGGTAAGCGCCTGCATGCAACGTGCATTTATCAAGCTGAAAACTCTGCTTGTAGAATTTCCGCACTAATCGCGGCAAATCCTTTATAGATCCCATCATGTACCGACAAATGTATGAAGTCGTATTGTTCTGATTCTATCCAATCTTCCTCTATATCGTCGACGAAAAATCTGACATTCACCATCGCGGTTTGTATTGGGCTGAAATCAACCCCAGTCTATGCAACCCGTTCGCTAAATACTTCCTTCCAACCTAACACAAAGCTGTTCAAACACTTAACCAGCTGTTGTGCGGATGGATAGTTACAGATCCCCTTTTGGACATAACTTACTAAACCTTTCAGGAGTCTATACTTCATCGATTTCAAGTCTCCTTGGGCCGGGGTGTATATCTCTCCCTAGCTCCATAGTTATCGGCGGGGATGAATCCGACAAGATTCAAAAGAGAGAGATATAGGGATTGATGGGAATATTAGTCAGGAAGCAGCAATATTGGGTTAACAACCAAAATTGAACCAGCAGGAAGATAACTCTTGATTTTCCAAAACAGGCTTATCTATCATGCTTCGCAGCGATGAAGTGGAAGAGCTTTGAGAGACGGCGCATATATGTACATACCATAATCATACTTGGTATGCCATATTCATATAGTTATTAGCGCACGAGCCGATGCGCCCCTCCCCTCTCTCTCCTGAGTTAACTAGGTCATGTGACATGGCTGTTGATGGAGTCGCTCGTTGGGGGGTGGACCTATATAGATGGATGGATATTAATTATTATTCTGGACATGTCCAAAATGCTGTCCAAGAGTAAAACTCGTTCGTTGCGAATGGCACTGAAGATAAAAAGTTGGGCCCAATAAGGAGAGAGTTTATAAGTTGGGAGTGGGAGCGGGAACGTGGTATAAGCCACAGACGCTGAATGGAAGGCAGGAAGCTTGAAGATGGTTTAATACTTGAGAATTTGACATAGATTATGAGAAATGGAACACACAGACCGCCGAAATTAAGTTTGGTAGATATAACTAACTGCCTAGGTAGTTATCCGACATTGCTTCAAGTTGAAACAGGTCTGTTACTCGGTAGTTATGTTATCTACGGGTATATTGTTTATTTTCCTACCAAAGTCATCATCCAGCCTTGGATTTGGGGAGCCCTATCTTTACCAATATCCAGAAGTTATACCTCCCGGACCATTTATGATTCATGGAAACTCGTTCCTTTCTTCCCCCTAGTTTTCATTATTCTCTTGGGATATCTTATCCAACGCTTTCCTAGGGGTTTCTGGCGCCAGGAGCTGCTCCGCATCGAAAACGATTGATTGTCAAGCCTCACTGATCAGCCACCTTGTCAATTTGAACAATCCTCCCCTCCACTACTGGAGCAATCGCTCGCGTCCAGGTTGGTGAGAACTCGTTCCCACTATGATCAGCCAACTGTACTCTATCGGCATCAAGACCGACCTTCTGTCGCCATTTCCTCACAAAGTGCCGCGCCTGTATCTCCCTGTGATCTGCGTCCTCAGCTGAGCGAGCTGTAGTGGTTACATAGTTGCGTGGCCGGGTGAGTAGCTCGGGCTCCGAGTCCGATTCGGAATCCATGACGCTCTCGCTGCTACCCCAGCTATCGCAGTCGTTGCCATCTAGCCCGGTTTTTGTCGGTTCGTTTTCTTTGTCATATTGGCGCTTGTGTCGTGGATTGGGGCTCACGTAGTGGAAACTGGAATCGAGAATTGACTTGCTGGGTTGCTCATCAGGAGAAGCCAAAGGGGAGGTAGC